CTGTACTTTCTACTTCTTACTTGTTGAACTCAAATACCTGTACTTTCTACTTCTTACTTGTTGAACACAAATACCTGTACTACTTTCTACTTCTTACATGTTGAACACAAATACCTGTACTTTCTACTTCTTACATGTTGAACTCAATACATGTACTTTCTACTTCTTACATGTTGAACTCAAATACCTGTACTTTCTACTTCTTACATGTTGAACTCAAATAACTGTACTTTCTACTTCTTACATGTTGAACACAAATACCTGTACTTTCTACTTCTTACATGTTGAACTCAAATACCTGTACTTTCTACTTCTTACATGTTGAACTCAAATACCTGTACTTTCTACTTCTTACATGTTGAACCCAAATACCTGTACTTTCTACTTCTTACATGTTGAACCCAAATACCTGTACTTTCTACTTCTTACATGTTGAACACAAATACCTGTACTTTCTACTTCTTACATGTTGAACTCAAATACCTGTACTTTCTACTTCTTACATGTTGAACACAAATACCTGTACTTTCTACTTCTTACATGTTGAACACAAATACCTGTACTTTATACTTCTTACTTGTTGAACTCAAATACCTGTACTTTCTACTTCTTACATGTTGAACTCAATACCTGTACTTTCTACTTCTTACATGTTGAACACAAATACCTGTACTTTCTACTTCTTACATGTTGAACACAAATACCTGTACTTTCTACTTCTTACATGTTGAACACAAATACCTGTACTTTCTACTTCTTACTTGTTGAACTCAAATACCTGTACTTTCTACTTCTTACTTGTTGAACACAAATACCTGTACTACTTTCTACTTCTTACATGTTGAACACAAATACCTGTACTTTCTACTTCTTACATGTTGAACTCAATACATGTACTTTCTACTTCTTACATGTTGAACTCAAATACCTGTACTTTCTACTTCTTACATGTTGAACTCAAATAACTGTACTTTCTACTTCTTACATGTTGAACACAAATACCTGTACTTTCTACTTCTTACATGTTGAACTCAAATACCTGTACTTTCTACTTCTACATGTTGAACTCAAATACCTGTACTTTCTACTTCTTACATGTTGAACTCAAATACCTGTACTTTCTACTTCTTACATGTTGAACTCAAATACCTGTACTTTCTACTTCTCACATGTTGAACTCTAATACCTGTACTTTCTACTTCTTACATGTTGAACTCAAATACCTGTACTTTCTACTTCTCACATGTTGAACTCTAATACCTGTACTTTCTACTTCTTACATGTTGAACTCAAATACCTGTACTTTCTACTTCTTACATGTTGAACCCAAATACCTGTACTTTCTACTTCTTACATGTTGAACTCAAATACCTGTACTTTCTACTTCTTACATGTTGAACACAAATACTTGTACTTTCTACTTCTTACACCGTTGAACTCAAATACCTGTACTTTCTACTTCTTACATGTTGAACACAAAAACCTGTACTTTCTACTTCTTACATGTTGAACACAAATACCTGTACTTTCTACTTCTTACATTGTTGAACACAAATACCTTGTACTTTCTACTTTCTTACATGTTGAACCAAATACCTGTACTTTCTACTTCTTACATGTTGAACTCAAATACCTGTACTTTCTACTTCTTAGCATGTTGAACTACAAATACCTGTACTTTTCTACTTCTTACATGTTGAACTCAAAATAGCCTGTACTTTCTACTTCTTACATGTTGAACTCAAATACCTGTACTTTCTACTTCTTACATGTTGAACCCAAATACCTGCTACTTTCTACTTCTACATGTTGAACACAATACCTGTACTTTCTACTTCTTACATGTTGAACTACAATACCTGACTACTTTCTACTTCTTACATGTTGAACCAAATACCTGTACTTTCTACTTCTTACATGTTTGAACTCAAATACCTGTACTTTCTACTTCTTACATGTTGTAACTCAAATACCTGTACTTTCTACTTCTTACATGTTGAACTCAAATACCATTGTACTTTCTACTTCTTACATGTTGAACTCAAATACCTGTTACTTTCTACTTCTTACATGTTGAACTCAAATACCTGTACTTTCTACTTCTTACATGTTGAACCCAAATACCTGTAACTTTCTACTTCTTACATGTTGAACACAAATACCTGTACTTTCTACTTCTTACATGTTGAACTACAAATACCTGTACTTTCTACTTCTTACATGTTGAACATCAAATACCTGTACTTTCTACTTCTTACATGTTGAACACAAATACCTGTACTTTATACTTCTTACATTGTTGAACTCAAATACCTGTACTTTCTACTTCTTACATGTTGAACTCAAATACCTGTACTTTCTACTTCTTACATGTTTAACTACAAATACCTGTACTTTCTACTTCTTACATGTTGAACATCAAATACCTGTACTTTCTACTTCTAAACAATAACTGTCCTTTCTACTTCTTACATGTTGAACACAAATACCTGTACTTTCTACTTCTTACTATGTTGAACTCAAATACCTGTACTTTCTACTTCTTACATTGTTGAACACAAATACCTGTACTACTTTCTACTTCTTACATGTTGAACACAAATACCTGTACTTTCTACTTCTTACATGTTGAACTCAATACATGTACTTTCTACTTCTTACATGTTGAACTCAAATACCTGTACTTTCTACTTCTTACATGTTGAACTCAAATAACTGTACTTTCTACTTCTTACATGTTGAACACAAATACCTGTACTTTCTACTTCTTACATGTTGAACTCAAATACCTGTACTTTCTACTTCTTACATGTTGAACTCAAATACCTGTACTTTCTACTTCTTACATGTTGAACTCAAATACCTGTACTTTCTACTTCTTACATGTTGAACTCAAATACCTGTACTTTCTACTTCTCACATGTTGAACTCTAATACCTGTACTTTCTACTTCTTACATGTTGAACTCAAATACCTGTACTTTCTACTTCTCACATGTTGAACTCTAATACCTGTACTTTCTACTTCTTACATGTTGAACTCAAATACTTGTACTTTCTACTTCTTACATGTTGAACCCAAATACCTGTACTTTCTACTTCTTACATGTTGAACTCAAATACCTGTACTTTCTACTTCTTACATGTTGAACACAAATACTTGTACTTTCTACTTCTTACACGTTGAACTCAAATACCTGTACTTTCTACTTCTTACATGTTGAACACAAATACCTGTACTTTCTACTTCTACATGTTGAACACAAATACCTGTACTTTCTACTTCTTACATGTTGAACACAAATACCTGTACTTTCTACTTCTTACATGTTGAACTCAAATACCTGTACTTTCTACTTCTTACATGTTGAACTCAAATACCTGTACTTTCTACTTCTTACATGTTGAACACAAATACCTGTACTTTCTACTTCTTACATGTTGAACTCAAATACCTGTACTTTCTACTTCTTACATGTTGAACTCAAATACCTGTACTTTCTACTTCTCTCATTTCCAAACAGCTGGTTCCTTTAGTCTGAATGTGTGTTTGGTGCGTGATCATTATTCTTTAGAGTCATTGCGTGCCTATTGATTTGAACACGATCCGTGTATCCATCATTTCCTGGTCTTCTCTAAAGAAGAGGGACCAATGGAAACGTTGTCATGTTGCCGTTGTTCAGCATGGAAACATTCATTAGCTAACAATGACATTATTGTTCTATTAATATAAAGGGAGGTCAGGTACTCTTTAAAACAGCTGCTAGTTATGGGTACTTTTTACTGAAGTACATTTCAAAGCCTCTTTACTTTGACTTGAGTAAAGACGTTTAGTCAGTACTTCTACTTTCACCAGAGTACTTTTAAACACGAGTATCTGTACTTCTACTTGAGTAAACGATGTGTGTACTTTTGCCCTCTCTGCCTGTCGGGACAAATGTTCACTTTATCACTTTATTCAGCTCTAATTGTAGGAGCTATAGCCTTAGACTAAAGCTACTGTGGTGTGTTAACTCCCCGGAATGACTTTGCTGACACTGTGTTGACACGATACCGTTTGTGTTGTTGTTTTAATGATGAATAGGTAGGCTTATTATCAGGTGTGGAATAATGCGATCCATGCATTGTATTGTTGTTGTGCATAATAAAGTAGAGTCCATTCAATTCAATATTCCATTCATTGCCTGAACAAACAATCTTATTGTTTTCACACGATGGCGATGAAAAACGATTTGCCCTTCGTGGATCAGACACATCCAATCCTCTGACAACACACACCTTAAATACCTGTGGCATAGAGAATGTGACGGTGACACTATATGCCACACACAGTGAATAACACACAATTGTGAAAACTTCAACCCAAATATGACCTTCAATAAAATGGCTCTTACAGTAATACTTCCCAGCTATAAATGAAGTAGGAAACCCTTTTTTAAAGCAGTATTCCTTACTTTTTTAACCTCATTCTCACATCTTTCTTCTACAACATTGACAGTAGTAAGTGTGGAATTCAAAGGACCCACATTAGTGATTGACAGGTTATCTAAACAATGGAGCTATCTGGAAACCTTGACGTTGTAATAATTGTAATTAAAGATACAAATGTTCCTCAAGTGAAAGTAGAAAAGTATTCTCATCAAAATATAGTGAAAGTATCGACAGTGAAAGTAGTCTTTGTGCAGATTGGTCCATTTCAGAATAATATATATGATATGTTTTATAATGATTGATCATGAAAGTGTTCTCAAAGCTGGTAAAGGTGCAGCTAGTTTGAAGGACTTTGTATACTGCAGGGTAGCTGGTGGATTTACTCCAGGTGGAACTACAGTCTGATTCAACACTTGATTATATTTCACATCATTCATCCACATCTGTGAAGTAACTAAAGGGATTAAATACATATAGTGGGTAGAAGTACAGAGTAGCATAACATTGAAATACTCAAGTAAAGCACAAGTACCTCTTAATTGTACTTAGTAACTCCCCCCCTCTGCTCACCTCTCTGCACGCGTTGAGCTCTTCAAACTCTCGGGTGGTCCAGTGTCTGTCCTTGAAGAAGTTGGTGGTGTTTCTTTTGTAAAACAAGTCCCAGTTTTTCTGAGCTTCTTTCTCCAGCTTCATGAGTTTGAAGTCGGACACCAGAGCCTTTTCTCGGCTCAGTGTGTCCGGCTCCTCCTGGGTCAAAACCCTGCAGGAGGAGGAGGCTCTGTTCTGCCCGACAACACACGGAGAAATGTCTTCTTTTAGTCCCACTTCTACTTCTGGAGCTGTTGTTTTAATATCCACAGGAAAACCTTCACTTTTCGACATGATAATTTTTTTTTTTTTAGAAAGAAATAATGTCTTACTGCTCCGTTTCCTTTAGTAAAGTTGCTTTTTGTTAATTAATGAAATAATAGTATTCTTCACAAGGTTAAAAATGCAGTTGTTTGTATGAAGAATCACGCTAAAATTAACTTATTGCAAAAAAAAGAAACATGTTTTTTCCACATTTGAGGTCCATCTTGTCCGTTGTGTAAATTCTTCCGTGTCAACTATGTGATTCCATTTCTTTCCGTTGGTTCCTCCCGTGACCCACTGGATTACAAACAATTAAAATACACCTACTACACGTAGTTTTCACATTTGATGTTAAAATAAGTGGTCATAAATATTTTACATTGAATTAAAACACAATAGAGTTGATTCATGTACATTATTAACGGTCACATTTCCTAGCCGCACCAAATCCGGAAGAGGCGGTGCTAAAGGGATGTTGTGCTAACGGTTAGCTACAGGAGGCTAACTGCTCCTTCTTCTGATCTTTCTGAAGTAAACACACACTGCTGGACTTTTAACATTTGTAATAAACCGAGAGATGAACGGGAGCACCAATCCGCTGCTGGACAAAGAGGAGCATGTCCTGAAGCTGGGGGAGAGCTTCGAGAAGAGGCCCAAATCCTCCTTTCATACTATCAGATGTGAGTGAGAAACAACAACAACAACACTGAAATTGACCGATGTGTTTGAGTTATTCCGCTGACATTGACAGGGAGGCTCTTACATAACATGGCTAATTATAGCGAGACGTAAATTAAGTAATTTGCATACAAACCAGATCGTCACACCCACTCCTTTAACGTTACAGCATCCATTGACATATTATATATATGTAGACAACTCAAATTATCTTTAAGTGGGATTACTACTGCTTACTAACGTGTGTGGTAAAAGTACATTATTAAAAATGAAAGTCACACATATATTGTTTGTTTCTGACATTTTTACATCATTACTGCCTGATCAAAAGTAGCTGGAAATGCACCAGAATAATGTGGTATTCAAATGTATTTCCCTATTGAATTACGCATGAATAAAGACTAGTTTCACACAGAAATAAGAAGTACATATTCACTCTAAGCATTTAGCTGTTTGTGAGTTACTTCTTTTACTTTCTTGCAAGGTTGTGTCCTTTAAGAAATATGAAAAACACCGTCTTGCTGCTACATAAGATGTCCTTTTTTCAGATGACTTCAAACCAGCCTCCATCGACACGAGCTGTGAGGGAGAGCTGCAAGTTGGGAAAGGAGAAGAAGTTACCATCACCTTACCTCACATCCCAGTAAGGCTGTTGTTGTCCTCTTGTTTACTTTGTTTACCAGCGCTTCTGTAAAGAAAACAAATTCAAACAAATCCACCTGACCGTTAACTGCAGTACAGTTGAAGAGTTTGAGAAGCTTCTGTAAGCTGTGAGGAAATCCCAAACATTATACTGTAGACGTTTTAAAGTGTTCGACCAGGGGGGTCAACACTGTCCAGATTCTGAAGTATAATGGAAAATGGTCAACACATGAAGCTTGTGATTGTCTTATATTGCATGGTTAAACATAAATGTACACATATATAACACAGTATTAATGTGTTAATAAGCCCGATTTTCAATTAAATTCAGTCGATTACGGCTGCCAACACTTTTTGTAACAAAGTAAATGAAACCCTCTGGAGAGCTGTGATGTTGGCTGTTTGTTTTCTTAAAGCATATTTCATTATCAAGCAAAATTGACCTACATTTGATTAATTTAGCGTATAACTTAACTTATGAGGCAATACCTCATAAGTGGCTCTGCCTTTCTGTAGTGCCCCTAATGTTTGCACACCCCTGCGTTACACGATAATTCCTCTTTTCTCAATTAAAAAGGTTGCTGTTTGCCGACCAACTCCAGCTGTTAGAGCCATTTTCCTTTCCTCGTTATGGTTTGAATGTTTGGCTTGATAATAAGGATTTAGAGTAAACTCTTTATTTCTGTGAGTCACACTACGGTTTAAAAGATGTTAATTTAAGTCTCACTTGTTTGCTGTCATATGTGCGCTGTCGGGTATGACGTGCATGTCTATATATTACATTACATTACATGTCACTTGTTAGACGCTTTTATCCAAAGCGACTTATATACTCAATACTGTGGGCAATCCCCACAGGAGCAATTTGGGGTGAAGGGTCTCAGGGACACAACGACATGCTGACTGCAGTGGGGTTTGAACCTGTGACCCCCTGATCCCAACACCAACCCACAACCCACTGCACCACACTTCTCCCTATATATGGCATGACAATGGGACACAGCACCGTGTTCTTTTTTGATACGGAGAACTTTGAGTTGCTTTGAAGCGAGGAAGTTTGTCTCCATGTTTCTAGCCGCCTGGATCAAAGGATAAATCAGATGTGATTCAACGCTACAACGATCTCCACAAAGTTTGTTTGGAAGCAAAGAGAAATGTGTCATCACCCACAACCCCGATGTGGATATCAAATGTAGAAACGGATTAAAACACGACCCCACCTATACTTCTGATAAAGCCCTGTGGTAAAGTACACAGAGATATTCACATTACTGCTGTTCCTCCAGGGCTCCACGCCTCCCATGACGGTGTTCAAAGGGAACAAGCGGCCGTACCAGAAGGACTGCGTGCTCATCATCAACCACGACACCGGGGAGTTCATGCTGGAGAAGCTGAGCAGCAGCATCCAGGTCAAGAAAACCAGGTCAGAGGTCAAACATAATAACTTAGATTTAGATAGCGCCTTTCAGGGGTCCAAGGTCGCTTTGCAGAGAACAAAAACAGTCAGACAAACAGTCAGACAGACAGACAGACAGACAGTCAGACAGACAGACAGACAGACAGTCAGACAGACAGACAGACAGACAGACAGACAGACAGACAGACAGTCAGACAGACAGACAGACAGACAGACAGACAGACAGACAGTCAGACAGACAGTCAGACAGACAGACAGACAGTCAGACAGACAGACAGACAGACAGTCAGGACAGACAGACAGACAGACAGACAGACAGACAGACAGACAGACAGACAGACAGACAGACAGACAGACAGACAGACAGACAGACAGACAGACAGACAGACAGACAGACAGACAGACAGACAGACAGACAGACAGACAGACAGACAGACAGACAGACAGACAGACAGACAGACAGACAGACAGACAGACAGACAGTCAGACAGACAGACAGACAGTCAGACTAACAGTCAGTCAGACAGACAGACAGACAGACAGACAGTCAGACAGACAGACAGTCAGACAGACAGACAGTCAGACTAACAGTCAGACAGACAGTCAGACAGAGAGACATACAGTCAGACAGACAGTCAGACAGACAGTCAGACAGACAGTCAGACAGACAGACAGTCAGACTAACAGTCAGACAGACAGTCAGACAGACAGACAGACAGACAGTCAGACTAACAGTCAGACAGACAGTCAGACAAACAGTCAGACAGACAGTCAGACATACAGTCAGACAGACAGACAGTCAGACAGACAGACAAACAGTCAGACAAACAGTCAGACAGACAGTCAGACAGACAGTCAGACAGACAGTCAGACAGACAGACAAACAGTCAGACAAACAGTCAGACAAACAGTCAGACAGACAGTCAGACAAACAGTCAGACAGACAGTCAGACAGACAGTCAGACAGACAGTCAGACAAACAGTCAGACAGACAGTCAGACAAACAGTCAGACAGACAGTCAAACAGTCAGACAGACAGACAGACAAACAGTCAGACAGACAGTCAGACAGTCAGACATACAGTCAGACAGACAGTCAGACAAACAGTCAGACAAACAGTCAGACAGACAGTCAGACAGACAGTCAGACATACGGTCAGACATACGGTCAGACAAACAGTCAGACAGACAGACAGACAGACAGTCAGACAAACAGTCAGACAGACAGTCAGACATACAGTCAGACAGACAGTCAGACAGACAGTCAGACATACGGTCAGACATACGGTCAGACAAACAGTCAGACAAACAGTCAGACAAACAGTCAGACAAACAGTCAGACAGACAGTCAGACATACGGTCAGACATACGGTCAGACAAACAGTCAGACAGACAGACAGACAGACAGTCAGACAGACAGTCAGACGAACAGTCAGACAAAAAGTCAGACAGACAGTCAGACAAACAGTCAGACAGACAGACAGTCAGACAAACAGTCAGACAAACAGTCAGACAGACAGACAGACAGTCAGACAGACAGACAGTCAGACAAACAGTCAGACAAACAGTCAGACATACAGTCAGACAAACAGTCAGACAAACAGTCAGACAACAAGTCAGACAGACAGACAGACAGTCAGACAGACAGACAGTCAGACAGACAGACAGACAGACAGACAGACAGACAGACAGACAGACAGACAGTCAGACAGACAGTAAGACAGACAGACAGTCAGACAGACAGACAGACAGACAGTCAGACAGACAGACAGTCAGACTAACAGTCAGACAGACAGTCAGACAGACAGACAGTCAGACAGACAGACAGACAGTCAGACAGACAGACAGTCAGACTAACAGTCAGACAGACAGACAGTCAGACAGACAGTCAGACAGACAGTCAGACAGACAGACAGTCAGACAGACAGACAGACAGACAGACAGACAGACAGACAGACAGTCAGACAGACAGACAGACAGATAGACAGACAGTCAGACAGTCAGACAGACAGACAGACAGACAGACAGACAGACAGACAGTCAGACTAACAGTCAGACAGACAGTCAGACTAACAGTCAGACAGACAGTCAGACAGACAGTCAGACAGACAGTCAGACAGACAGTCAGACAGACAGTACAGACAGCACAGACAGACAGACAGACAGACAGACAGACAGTCAGACAGTCAGACAGACAGACAGTCAGACAGACAGACAGACAGACAGACAGACAGACAGACAGACAGTCAGACTAACAGTCAGACAGACAGTCAGACTAACAGTCAGACAGACAGTCAGACAGACAGTCAGACAGACAGACAGACAGACAGACAGACAGACAGACAGACAGACAGACAGACAGACAGACAGACAGTCAGACTAACAGTCAGACAGACAGACAGACAGACAGTCAGACAGACAGACAGACAGACAGACAGTCAGACTAACAGTCAGACAGACAGACAGTCAGACTAACAGTCAGACAGACAGTCAGACAGACAGACAGACAGACAGTCAGACAGACAGACAGACAGACAGACAGACAGACAGTCAGACAGACAGACAGACAGACAGACAGACAAACAGTCAGACAAACAGTCAGACAAACAGTCAGACAAACAGTCAGACAGACAGTCAGACAAAAAGTCAGACAGACAGACAAACAGTCAGACAGACAGACAAACAGTCAGACAGACAGACAGACAGACAGACAGTCAGACAAACAGTCAGACAAAAAGTCAGACAAACAGACAGACAGACAGTCAGACAGACAGACAAACAGTCAGACAGACAGTCAGACAAACAGTCAGACAAACAGACAGACAGACAGTCAGACAGACAGACAGACAGACAGTCAGACAGACAAACAGTCAGACAAACAGTCAGACAAACAGTCAGACAGACAGTCAGACAGACAGTCAGACAAAAAGTCAGACATACAGTCAGACAGACAGTCAGACGAACAGTCAGACAGACTATCAGACAGTCAGACAGTCAGACAGACAGTCAGACAGAAAAAAAAACAGACAAACAGTCAGACAGTCAGACAAACAGTCAGACAAAAAGTCAGACAGACAGTCAGACAAACAGTCAGACAGACAGTCAGACAAAAAGTCAGACAGACAGACAGACAAACAGTCAGACAGACAGACAAACAGTCAGACAGACAGACAGTCAGACAAACAGTCAGACAAAAAGTCAGACAAACAGACAGACAGACAGTCAGACAGACAGACAAACAGTCAGTCAGACAAACAGTCAGACAAACAGTCAGACAGACAGTCAGACAGACAGACAAACAGTCAGACAGACAGTCAGACAGACAGACAAACAGTCAGACAGACAGTCAGACAGACAGACAGACAGACAAACAGTCAGACAGACAGTCAGACAAACAGTCAGACAAACAGTCAGACAGACAGTCAGACAGACAGACAAACAGTCAGACAGACAGACAGTCAGACAGTCAGACAGACAGACAGACAGACAGTCAGACAGACAGTCAGACAAACAGACAGACAGACAGTCAGACAGACAGACAAACAGTCAGACAGACAGTCAGACAAACAGTCAGACAAACAGTCAGACAGACAGTCAGACAGACAGACAAACAGTCAGACAGACAGTCAGACAAACAGTCAGACAAAAAGTCAGACAGACAGTCAGACAGACAGTCAGACAAAAAGTCAGACAGACAGTCAGACAAACAGTCAGACAGACAGACAGACATACAGTCAGACAGTCAGACAGTCAGACATACAGTCAGACAGTCAGACAGACAGTCAGACAGACAGACAGACAGACAGACAGACAGTCAGACAGACAGACAGTCAGACAGACAGACAGACAGACAGACATACAGTCAGACAGACAGACAGACAGACAGTCAGACAGACAGTCAGACTACAGTCAGACAGACAGACAGACAGACAGACAGACAGACAGACAGTCAGACAGTCAGACTAACAGTCAGACATACAGTCAGACAGACAGACAGTCAGACAGACAGACAGACAGACAGTCAGACAGACAGACAGACAGACAGACAGACAGACAGTCAGACAGACAGACAGACAGACAGACAGACAGACAGACAGACAGACAGTCAGACAGACAGACTAACAGTCAGACATACAGACAGACAGACAGACAGACAGACAGACAGACAGACAGACAGACAGACAGACAGACAGACAGACAGACAAGCCAGTCAGTAAAACAGCAAACAAATTAGGGTCAGAAACTCCCAACTACTGTCATTCATCACAGAATGAGAAAGATTGCATTGATCTCAGACCTAATGAACACAAACCATAGACTTAGTTATTAACCCGACAAATCTATACCCACAGCTTTATTACCAAACCATTTTTATTGCCTGTGCGTTTTGTTAGATATCTTTTGATTCCATACTTTAACCACGTTTGATTATGACTACACTGAATGCAGGGTTATGTAGCACATGTAAGAATAATATGACAATTTTAAATACATTTACAAAGGGTTATAAGAAGCCAACAAGCGGCATAAGAATCTTAAACACGCTTTCAATAAATAAGACAGGTATATTAATTACAAGTTACAGGCCCAGAAAACTGTTTAAGTAGTCTTTAAGTATAGTAGTTATTTGATTTAGTAAAAGGTAACGGTAATAAAAAGAGTCTTCAGCTTTGATTTCAAAGTGAAAGTAGCTGATTTCTGGGAGTTTTATTCCAGAGATAGTTGTTCAAGAGAGATTGGTGGGAACATGTTTTGTTTTGGGCGACAGACAATCTGTTAGAGGATATTCCTGCATTATAGATCCAGACAGATTGAAAAGAAATATGTGTGTGTGTGTGTGTGTGTGTGTGTGTGTGTGTGTGTGTGTGTGTGTGTGTGTGTGTGTGTGTGTGTGTGTGTGTGTGTGTGTGTGTGTGTGTGTGTGTGTGTGTGTGTGTGTTGTGTGTGTTGTGTGTGTGTGTGTTGTGTGTGTGTGTGTGTGTGTGTGTGTGTGTGTGTGTGTGTGTGTGTGTGTGTGTGTGTGTTTCAGGGCGGAGGGCAGCAGTAAGATCCAGGCGCGGATCGAGCAGCAGTCGGTCCGCTCCACCTCTCAGCCCTCCTCTCAGTTTCGAGCCCCCACAAAGCCCGGGGCCAAAGCCTCCCCCTCCCCCTCTAAAGACGACCCGTCCCCGGAGCCTCAGCTCGACGACATCAAGAGAGGTGAGGAGGCAAAGAGTATATCATACTAGGTAACATGTTGCATCACATTTAGCATAGGCTTTTATCCAAAGCCACGTATAATAAGAGCAACTAGAAAAACTCCCCTCCAGTCACACACTCACATTTTGACGGCAAATATGGCGGCATTTAAGAGAATACTGTTACAATATCTGAATTAAGTTTAAATCCAACATGTTTTGTGATATTAGGCTAAGTAAATAAACTTTGATTTGATTTGAAAGCGAATCTTAACTTATCTTATTATTATACTTGGATAAACAGATGAGGAATAAGGGTTTGAACATGTTAAAGTGTGTGATTGTGCCCCCTGCTGGTTCAGAGCTGCGTGCGGAGGTGGAAGTCATCGAGCAGATGAGCAGCAGCTCCTCGGACTCGGCCTCCGGCAGCGGAGAGGAGAGCAGCGACGGAGAGCCGGACGTCCCCCCCCCCCGGCCGCTCAGCCAGACCTCGCCCCCCGCCCCCCTCCCACAGCCAACGGGGGGCAGCCGGGCAACAACCAGCTCATGAACACACTGCGTGAGTCCCTCAAAGTTACCTTATTACTTCCATGAAGAGAAGACATTTAAAAAAACATGGCAGTCAAAGGAAAGATTTCAATGTCCTGCAGAAATGATGGTCAAATACGAATTATTACTGAGCTTGAAAACAATTGTTATGAAGGCTATGAAAAGGGACGTCTTTAGGGCATGGATTTCTATTTCATTTCAAATAAAACAAGTCCCGCCAATCGACTCATTAAAAGTAAATATAAGTAAATATAACGCCGGAACTTTTTAAATAAAGGACTTCCTCTCTGACTCATCACATTTTAATTAAGGCGTGCTGCTGCCAACTTAAAAATCAAGTGTGGTTTAGTCCAGCTCTAAAATCGATTACAGGCTTCATAGACCGGTCTGACATTACTTGACGACTTTGAAGACCTTTGAGAAATGTGTCTCTCCATAATCTAATAAGCAGCTGGAACTGACTCGTATTTTCTCCCTTTTTTAAATACACTTCAATGTGTGCGTTATGACATTGTTCGGGTCAAAGTTCCCTTGAAACCAGCTAACGCAAACACTGATGTTGCGAGAGGCAGGGAAGGGCAAAGGACATGTTGTAAAATATTTTCCACCATTTCCAGTAACCACACATCAGTGTTCATGAAACCACCTCAGTGTCAGTTCTCATTATGGTAGGGCACTGGTCCAAAGTGTCCCAATGTTATAATCTGTCTGTTTATCCCAGGAAACGACCTTCAACTCAGCGAGTCGGGCAGCGACAGTGATGACGACTAAACTCTCTTCCTCTCAACACACACACACACACACACACACACACACACACACACACACACACACACACACACACACACACACACACACACACACACACACGGACAGACACACACACACACACACACACACACGGACGGACACACACACACACACACACACTCCTCCTCCTCTCCACTGGTTCCTGCTGTGGCAGCTCCCAGCTGTGTATTCCGGTTTGATTGTATCTTTTATTTTTTATTTTCGTATATCCTTAAAGCTAAGAGTGTATTTTCTATTAGATGTTATATTTTATTTTGTATAGCGAGACAGAGAAACTTTTACTTGTTCGGTTTGGAAGATTATATATTGGAGTGCACATATTTTCTGTTCTCAGAGCAGCTACTTTTATCTCCATGTATCATGTCTCTCGTTGGGTTTGTCTTTACGCTGAGGCGAGGAAGAGTTGATTTTGAAAGATAACCACTCTCTCACCTCGTCTGGTTTTAATCAGAGAAGGCTGTGGGAAGCTTCTCTACTTCTATGTCATGTTTTTAATGTTTATTGTTATAAAGAAAATGCAGAATTGTCTGTGCATCAGTAACACATTGATGAAAAACAAGTCTAAGTCAAATTTAGACAGGCTAGTATTTTAGAAGTGACAGAGACCTTGTTCTACGATTCCAGGTGTTAATCTGCATTTTGGATTATTCTTCTACCACTAGGGGGCAGAAAAGACCTAAAAACAAACTGTCGGAAACAGATCTGACATGTATAAGCTTTTAATGTTGCTAATCGTTAGCAAGCAGTTGAATGTAAGAAATCCACCAAATCTAAAAAACGATCCGTGTTGAGGAACTCAAACCCTAAACATGTGATGTGTTTGTAGCTGGAGAATAACGAATAATAAGCTAAACGAGGTCAAATATTCCAGTCAAGACGCAAAATTGTCTGTTTTTGGAAGTGTTACCTTATCAAAAGGTACCCAGCAACAGAGGAGGAGGTAGTCAGTTAGTCATGTGCTAATATTAATGCATTTACTCAACTGGGTGCATTACGTTCTACCTTCTCGTCACAAAGAATCCCAATTCCTCGCAGTATAACCAGTTACAGTATGATACATACCATACGTCAAATCCTTTGATGATAACGGTCTAAAACCTTTAAATATATAGTTAACTCTCACCAAAAACAAGTATTCACAGGCGTTCTTCCTAGAATTACTGATAATAATTGAGTCTAAAGTGGTTCATTTGTTAATAAAAGTCCTTCAAAGGCACCTGAAACTCAAATGATGCACGATTACGTCTGAAAAAGGGAAATAAACTACTTCAAAAAGTTCAGATATCCGTTTTCTCTCCACACAGACACTCTTTGTTCCAAGTGTTGTCATTTTTCAATCAAACTTATTTTTTTAGACCCTGCATTTCCATATAATACTAAAGGATAATTCCACGCCTTACAGCGTCTCGGTGAATGTGTTGTTTTGTGAAAAAGCCAAAGAGTGAAACTGCCTCTCAGAGAGCAGGACGCCTCACATGTCGCTGTGTCATCGTTTTCATTTCAAACACTGTGTGTGTTGATGTGATCGTCTGCAGGAGACACTCGGTGCTGATTGTACAGTGAATCAATATCAATGCAACAAAACAACCTGCAGTCAGAAACACCAATGAAGAGTTTCATAGCAAAAATTGCCAATATTTCATTTTATTGGGAATTTAAACACTATTTTTGGCAACAGGTTAAAAAGTGTAATATAAGACGGGCTTTCATTGACCCCTGTTGGGATATTTAGGAGTTATACAAGGTTTTAAAGTTAGAGGAATGTTCCTTCTAGTTAATTTGACAATTAATCTGTTGAGCAGAGTCCTGATCAACTAAGACTTTGAAAAATGGTCTCACGTTTTTTTACGAGGAAGGAGAAGTAACCAACACAAAGTGACTGTTTATCTTTCTAAATTGTAAATGAACCTTCAGCTGGTTTGATACGTCAGGCTCAAACGTCTCATATCAGTCTCTGAATCCACACCTCGGTTGTTGAATGTTGTATTTGGTTCTTTTGTTGTCATGTTTTTCTATTAGTGACGTTTATGTGAAATGTGTTTGTACAAACTTGAAGTGTATTAAAAGCGTTTCAATTCATTTGAGTTTGCTGTTCATTGGGAGGATTGGCTTTTTCTGAGTGCTGATTTTATTATAGTCGCATTAAAGCTCTGTTGACACCTGACATTAACTCTGTGGGACAACAGGTGTGGATGCACCAAAGACGCTTTAGGATCCAATCATTCCCACATTTCAAGATGTTCTGGAGACACTTTACTGAAGCAAATGCATTGTTGGCTACATTAAAGGTCACCTATCATAATATTTGTATAGGCGATAGCATAGGTCTCAGATATATACAAATATATAAAAAACATGAAGTGTTTTGCTCAAAATACCAAACAGATCACCCATTCTAGCCATGCCTCATATCCCTCTATTTCACTTCCTGTTTCAAAAGTGCTGATTTTGTGTATAAAGCTTTAAAAAAAAAAATTGATAAAAAAAGAGGGGCGGAGCCTATGTCAGCTCAGGCGGAAGATTCTACCGGTAGATACTGCCGTGATGAAACGCTATATCATGGATTATCAAGGATTCTTTCTGAAACAGTATGGAACTCAAAGGCTTTCTCTATTTCCTGCTTCTTCACACACATGGGCCCATTCCCAAACCGCCCCCTACACCCTACCCCTCTGTTTGCGCGTTCACGCGGAGGGTCCGCCATATTGAGGGCTGTTCCAAACCAACGAGTGTGGAGCGGTGTGGAGGGGGAGTGGGCTATCAAGCCCTCAAACAGCGAGTCTGCATCGGTGCTGACTTGAGACCGGTCTCTACCTGACCGGAGTCACGCTGTGTGTGTCCGTCGGGAAACAAGCTGTTAAAAAGTAGTTCCAGTAAACATCCACTGATAAACTACGATGTTAACAACCTCATGATAACCTCATATGTTTTTAACTTAGGATCATACCTGTGTTAGTCTAGAAAAAGGAAAAATTGTGCATGTTATTATAAAGTTGTGTATATTTACAGACTGTTGCAAAAACTAAGAAGCTTATAAAGGTTATATCAGGTTTAAAACTAAAAGAGCTTTGAAACACAATGAAAGATGTTTGGAGTTTTATTTGAGTTATTAATTTAAACTTTTTGTCTAAGAGATGCTGATTTGAAACCTTTGTTACATACAGTTACGGCATTTCCTGTTTCTGCCGGAGAGGGGAGGCCGTCCCAAAGCTTGCTGCCGTATTTACTCCCTCCATCTGACAGGAGGGAGCCTCGTTGAGCTGCGAGTGTGGCTACAGACGGAGTTCACTCCGTCACGGAGGGGTAGGGTCGAGGGAGTGGTTTGGGATTGGGCCATGCTCTCCAGTACAGGTTAGCTCTGAGTGCTAGCGATGCTAATTTAAACACCGACCATATTATGTCCAAAACAGTCGGGCATTGTTTCTGATAGCAACGTTTCTGATTGGGCCGTGGGTCCACATTTCAGATATGACGTCATATCGGACGCAAATCTGGATCAGCTCCGTTGTTCCCCCGTTTTTAGAGATTTGGTTACGGAGGAAAAGAGAGAGGATTTTATGCTTTATTCAACCTTTTCAGCTTTGGCTTCAAGAAAAAACCTGAAGTGGTGCTTAAAACTTTGATAACGTTTTGGTTTTAACACATAATATGGAGCTTTACTTCATCGTCATCATGTCTGTAGGTTGCAATCAGTTCAATGGAAGAGTGATTTTCCAACCTCTTAGATTGTTAAATACACATTTTTGCAGATGCCTGAAAGGGTAGAAACTGTCATTCTCAAGAAAGAAGCAAATATTAGAAATACAGTCTGAAAAATAAACAATTTAGGTCAGGGAAATCTTGATCCAAATAAAAGGAAATGCTCAAATGTTTAAGAACTCCATCAGATTTCCAGATGTCTCCACTTCCTTTCGGGAGTTTGAACAACCTGAGGCGTGGGCTCGCTTCTCCTTCAAATATGAAACGTTATGACACGGAGGAAAGTAAAGACAGCAGTCACAAATGAACTTCGATAAAAGATTATATTGCTGGTCTTAAATAATCATCGTCAAGTGAAACATATGCTCAGTAAACACCTTCAGTTTGGTACGAACCACAACGACCTGTACACGTGGCTTATTATTACAATACAGTACTTTTTCCCTGCGATGGTGCAACAACTGAGTCACATTTGGGCATTTCTCTTCAAACAGTAACACAAGAGTTCACAACAAATACATAAATAGCTTTTGTTTCCCTTTAAAAATCATTTATAACGCAATTATACTCATGATTCTGGCTCTTGCTACGACATGTCATTTTAACCGATATATAAATTAACATCAACAACAAAAAATAATAATATTAATAATAATAATAATTAGAACAATAATAATAATAATATAAAAGCTGTCTGTCTTTCATATAAATCTGGCTAGCTTACAGTATGAAATGATGCAACATGGAGGCATCAGAATCTCCTTATTCCAAAATGCAGATTTCTCACTTTTTGAGTGTCTGTGAGGGACAATGTGGACGCCATTTTGGCTCGAGCAGGAGTCCAGTGGCCCACGTAGTTTCCTGAGGGTCCATGGCAGCGTGGACCAACGTTCCTCAGGAGTAGGAGAACGTAAAATATCGAAAACATGGGGGGTTATCTCATCAGTTCTTCCCCTTAGAGAAATTGTAAACTCCGGGGGGCGGAAATTGGTTTTGTGACGGGACGAGAAGCTGGAGGAAGTTCTTCACCAAATCCCCTCGAATGTCTAAATCAGATCAATCTGGACCCTGAGTACCGTATCCCATCTGATCCGTCCACATCAGACCTTTCTCTGCTTCTTTGGCCCCCTTTATATTCTGTCTCTATAACCTGCCCTGCCCCCCCCCCCCCCGCATCCCTCCGGGGTCAGGGGTCACCGGCCGGGGCAGGACGTGGGTTTGATGCAGCGGCCCTGGAACAGCACCAGGTTGGCGGGGCAGTGGCAGCCGGCCACGCAGGGCTTGTGGCACGGACCGATCTCGTTCCAGTTGTCGCAGGTTTTGGTGCAGCCGGGGCCGCAGGTGTCGTACACAGCGCCGTGTTTACACTGCGTGGCTGGAGGGAGACAACAAAAAAGACGTTGCTGATATGCATCTATACACCTGAAAAAAAACATACATACAGTCCCCTCCAAAACGATTTGAACAGAGAGGCCGATTGCTTTATTTTTGCTGTACATCAAAAGATGAATATGAGACAAAAGGTCATTTACCTTAGCAGTTCATACATGATGTAGAAGAGACGTGAATAAGTGGATTTTGCATAATAGGTGACCTTTAAATGACTATAACAGCCGTGACTCACCCATGCAGGAGGTGTCGGCCCTCCAGACGACGGGCGCTCCCTCCCTCTCGCAGGCCCGGCTGTACGCCATGAAGGACTCACAGTAACAGTTCTTATGGACCGGACACTCACACATGTCCGTCACACACGACCTACAGAGAGCAGACAATGAAATAAACACGTTATCGGACGAGGGTGGGTTGTTATCAGATAAGATAAGAAGTACTTCAAACCACCAGACTCAGGGACAGTTTCATCCCACAGGCCATAAGACTGTTAAACTGAACTTTTGAAAGAACATCTGGTTGCTTGTATATACACTATTTCTATTTTATTTTATCGTATTTACTTGCACTATTATCTGTTTTATTGTGTTGCACTGTTGGAGGAGCCTGTGATCTCAGATTGACATTGTTATATCCAGTGCCGATTCTAGAGTCTGTGGGGGCCCTAGGCAAACATTCACTGGGGGCCCCTCGAAGCAGCTTCTCCTCACCACGCACAGCCGACAGCGAGTAAAAGCACAACAAATAAGGACACTTTAAATGAAACCTAATGCTTCTGTGTGCTCTGACCTGTAGAAAGGGGCGAAGTCGATCACACGGTGGCACTTCTGGAACTCCCACAGCTTTATCTTCTGGCACTCTCGATGAGCGCGGAATTTGACCTTGACGCTGCCGGGACACAGGAAGGAGGCCGGCCGGCGGGGGGGGGGGCTGCTGGGAGCAAACCTCGTTCCCCTCCATTCGCCACGACTCGGCAAACTCGTCCACGTCGAACTTGAACTGCCCGTCGCCCCCCATGGTGTCGTCACGCTTGTGGCCGTTGTAGTTTCCACAGAGGCCACAGAGACGTCCTCGCAGGTGGGGGGCCGCGACCACTTCAACGAAACTGTCTCCGTCCCACGTGATCTCCAGACCTTCAGAGGGAGGAGGAGGGGAATACAATTTAAGATTGAAGATCTGTCATCTGTGCCTACAGTGAACGCTCTTCCAACAGTGCAACATACTTAAGATATATGGAAGTAAAACAATGCCTAAAATAAAACAGTATGTGAAATCTAATACTGCTTTTTATAATAATATGCAAATAGGTTTTATGCTTCTCTTGCCAACCAGAGGTGTTTCAACTTTGTCGACGTTATGTTTTTGTTTTGGACTGAAAATAATCCTAATTCAATGTCCATTTTTTTGCTTTTTACATAGCTTTCAAAAATGGTTGAAGAAACTAGTGAGTGATCCTTTAGTTGGGATTATTCTGGGCAAAGAAAATCTATGAAATTACGCATCAGACTATTTTCTTTACCAAAGCTACAAGTTATGCATTAAACACTCAAAGTTCATGCTGTAGTCGTATGTCGTATGTCTCAGGGTCTTGTGTGCTGACCTGCGATGGTGGTGAGTTTGAGCAGGTACCCGTCCAGGTCGATGTGCACCCCGGGGCCGTGGTAGGGCAGGGCGATGCGGGACCCGTTCTTCCGGACCGTGAGGTGCTGGTGGAGCCCGAGGACCAGCCCGCCCAGCCGGATCTCCACCGACTGAGTCCAGGAGAAGGAGCGCGTCCGCCGGGCGTCGTTCTTCACCAACACCTGGGGAACAGAGAGAGAAGACACACGTTGTTAGAAAAATATCCCTCGTCACCGGCTTGAGCTTCAACCTCAGGATCCATGTATTTGTGATCCTCTCCAGAATGGAAGGAGTCATCACATACAGAGCATCAACTAGTTCCTGAACAGTGTCCTTCACATGCTGATATCCAAGAGAGGGAGTTACACAGTCACAAGATGGAGGAATAGAAAGCAGTATTCAATGTTTACTTCAGATTAGCTCCACGTCAGAAATGAGCATGCTTGTCATATGTCTATCTCCATAGAGGCTGAATCATCATGTTAATCACATAGCTATCATATGCCTAAAACAGTCCTGATGCTCTTCTAGGTAATCATACATCCTGTCATGTTCACAGCTACAGTTGGGATTCCATCATGTTACTCTCATGTTGGAGGAGGACATTCAGTATTTTCCCAACACACACGTCAAGCTCCGGAAATACTTTGGTTTGGAGATGTTGCTATAGGATCCATTGAGAGAATGTCTAACAAATTAAGCTCACATTTGGGGAAATTCTCTGTGAAATTAACAGTATAGATCAGTGATTCTCAAATGGGGGTACGCGGACCCCTAGGGGTACGTTGGGGGTACTGCAGGGGGTACGTGAGATTTAAAAAGAAAACAAAAGTTTAATTAAAAAAAATACCATTGATGATTACAAAAATAATTTTAGTACAATAAGTGAAATAGAAAACACAATTTTATATAAAATATTTCTAGAACCACCAAGGGGGTCCTCATATAAACATGTCAAATGTGTGTATTGTATTTTATAGTTTTTCATAATATATCATTTTGTTCATTGGTTTGTTAAACATATATATTACTTCAATTGAAAAACTTCTTTTTTTCATGCACAAAGATGAAAAAATCCTTAGTTTGTTGTAATTCATGCATGAAGGAGTTAATAAATCACACACTGATGGAACATCACTATATTGTAATTATGTATATAGGCTTTTTCTATCAAAGATGTTCGGGGTCGGTCAGGGGGTACTCGGCTGAGAAAATGTTTCAAAGGGGGTACATTACTGAAAAAAGTTTGAGAAACACTGTTACATATCAGTTCTCCATCTCACCATGAAGCTGGAGTCCGTGCCGCTGACGGAGTTCCCTGCTCCTCCAGAGGGGGCGGAGCCACAGTCTCGAGTCAGGACGTACTGACAGGTGCCCTGGAAGTTAAAGGTCCTGCCGTCGAAGGTGTTGTAGTGAGGGTCTCCAAACACCGTGCACACACCCGGCTCTGCAGAGGGACGAGGCAGAGACAGAGAGGAGTTCAGATGGAGGAAGAACGAACAAAAACGAGAAAATTGCAGAGAACAAATTAAATTGAACTGAAAAAAGGCCTCATTGGGGTTGTAGGGGGTTACCCTTCTCTGTAGTGTGATTTATAGGTTTTTATTGCATGTAAATGGTCTGCAGAGGCTAACATTCCTGTGTTCCCTCCAAAAGGAGTTTCTCTCCCCACGGTCCTGCCTGAAAGCCTCCATTGGACTGCTTTGTTTACTTACAGAACACAGTGACATCATTATGTAACACTCGCGCTTCTATTGGCTAGTGCTCCAACACATTTTACGTGATAGGCTAGGGGGCGGGACATCTCTAAGCGGTTGACCAATCACAACAGAGGCGGCCAACTAACCAATCAGAGCAGACTGGGCTCTGGTTTCAGACAGAGGGTGAAAAGAGGTGCTGCAACACAGGCAGTATGAGAAAAATAAAGAGCTTTTTGAACATTAAAGCAGGGAGACATGTAGAGACACTACATACTGATATTGTTAGGATCTGTCTGTGTTGTAGTTTTGTATGTCTGGTTATGGGTATTTTCATCCTTGTATATTGTCTGGTCCTTCTTCCTGTGTTTTTCCTCCCGTCGTTAGTTTCCCTGGTGTGTCTAGTTGTCTGATTGTTTTCACCTGTGGCCCTTGTGTTTCTCCTCCCCTGCCCGGCTGTGTCTCGTCTTGTGATTACCCCTTCCTGTATTTAGTCTTGTCTCTTCCTGTGTTCAGTGTCGGTTCATCTTGTGTCATGACTTGGTCTGCGGTGAGGGTTCTGTTCTGTCTCTGTATATTGTAGCCTTGAAATAAAGGAATTATTTTGTGTCACTTAAATCTGCATTTGGGTCCTGCATCCTGCACACCGTAATATTACGAACCGACCAACAATGGACCCAGCGGATTTTAATTTTTATTTGGACTTGTTATCCCTAGAGTACACTCTTCAGTGTCATTATGCTGAATGGAGTAGAACCTTGGCTAAAAGGGACAAAGAGGCTGTCCTCAAAAAGGCACAAATGGAGGTGGACAACATGCCATGGTTGAGAGGCTCATTGCCTGAATTTCTCAGAGTTTTCTCACGCAGCCCTGAGTGCCAGTCTCCATTCTCTGACCCTTTCTTGGGATCCCGCCTGGCGTTTGGAGGTCCACGGAGCCTCCAAAAGACTTCTAAAAGACGCAAGGTCAGGAAGCCAGCTCGTACTCAGGTACCGGTCCTAGCAGCCATGGTTCCGGCTCCAGAGCCGGCCCATACAGCCATGTTTCCGGCTTCAGAACGGGATCTTACAGCCATGTTTCCGGCTCCAGAACCGGACCTTACAGCCATGTTTCCGGCTTTAGAACCGGACCTTACAGCCATGATTCTGGCTTCAATTCCGGCTCCAGAGCCGGCCCATACAGCCATGTTTTCGGCTTCAGAACTGGATCATACAGCCATATTTCCGGCCATGGTTCCAGACCTAGTACAGTCCCCAGCAGCCATGGTTTCAGCCCCAGTTCTGGCCCGAGCAGCCATGGTCCCCTCTCCAGTTCCCCATCGAGTCCCTCCTCTAGCCCCTCCTCTAGTCTCTCCTCTAGTCCCCTCTCGAGTTCCCTCCTTTAGTCCCTCCTCTAGTCCCTCCTCGAGTCCCCTCTCTAGTTCCCCTCTCGAGTCCCCTCTCGAGTTCCCTTCTCTAGTTCCTCCTCTAGTCCCTCCTCTAGTCCCCTCTGGAGTCCCCTCTCCAGTCCCCTCTCGAGTTCCCTTCTCTAGTTCCTCCTCTAGTCTCTCCTCTAGTCCCCTCTCGAGTTCCCTCCTTTAGTCCCTCCTCTAGTCCCTCCTCGAGTCCCCTCTCTAGTTCCCCTCTCGAGTCCCCTCTCGAGTTCCCTTCTCTAGTTCCTCCTCTAGTCCCCTCTGGAGTCCCCTCTCCAGTCCCCTCTCGAGTTCCCTCCTCTAGTCCCTCCTCTAGTCCCTCCTCGAGTCCCCTCTCAAGTCCCCTCTCGAGTTCCCTTCTCTAGTCCCTCCTCTAGTCCCTCCTCTAGTCCCTCCTCTAGTCTCTCCTCTAGTCCCCTCTCTAGTTCCCCTCTCGAGTCTCCTCTCGAGTCCCCTCTCGAGTTCCCCCTTGGTTCCCCTCTCGAGTTCCCCCTTGGTTCCCCTCTCGAGTCTCCTCTCGAGTCCCTACTTGAGTCACGTCTCAAGTCCCTACCCAATGTCCTGGTCCGTTGGAGGTTCCGCTGGGGGTCCTGCCAACTCCATGTCTGTCTCGTTGGAGGTCCCGCCGTCTACTCTCCTGCCGGGGGTCCTGCCAATCCCATGTCCTGTCCCGTTGGGGGTCCCGCCGTCTACTCTCCTGCCGGGGGTCCTACCAATCCCATGTCCTGTCCCGTTGGGGGTCCCGCTGGGGGTCCTTCCGGCTCCATGTCCAGTCCCGTTGGAGGTCCCGCAAACTACTCTCCTGCCGGGGGTCCTGCCAGCCCTGTGTGCTGTCCCGTTGGGGGTCCCACCGACTGCCCTTCTGCCGGGGGTCCTACCAACCCTGTGTCCTGTCCTGTTGGAGGTCCCGCGAACTTCTCTCCTGCCGGGGGTCCTGCCAACCCTGTGTACTGTCCCGTTGGGGGTCCCGCCGACTGCCCTCCTGGCGGGGGTCCTGCCAACTCCTGGTCCTCTTTCGTGGGGGATCCTTCCGAGGCCTGTCCCACCAGCGCCGGTTCCTGTCCGGCCGACACCGGGTTCTGCCCTGCCCCCTGAGTTCCGCGGTCCTCGCCCTCGGGCCCGACCCCCTGATTCTACCTGCCACTGCCTTCGCCCCTCCATAACCCCCGTTTCAAGCTCTGCCTTGCCCCTGGGCTGTCAGCCCAAGCCCGTCCCCCTCCACCCACCCTGGTGGCCTTGTGTAATGACTTGGTCTGCGGTGAGTGTTCTGTTCTGTCTCTGTATATTGTAGCCTTGAAATAAAGGAATTATTTTGTGTCACTTAAATCTGCATTTGGGTCCTGCTTCCTGCACACCGTAACATATATATACACCTGAACATCAGCAGGAGAGGACTCTTTAAAGTAGAGACTCTACATACTGATATACACCTGGACATCAGCAGGAGAGGACTCTTTAAAGTAGAGACACTACATACTGATATACACCTGAACATCAGCAGGAGAGGACTCTTTAAAGTAGAGACTCTACATACTGATATACACCTGAACATCAGCAGGAGAGGACTCTTTAAAGTAGAGACTCTACATACTGATATACACCTGGACATCAGCAGGAGAGGACTCTTTAATATACAATTACTGGCACACAAATCATTGTTCCTTCCATCATAGCAGGAGAAATCGAACAATGATATACACTGATGTCTGGGAGCCCGCAGCAAAAAGATAATTTATGATAAGTGGTGAAATATGAGGAACCAATGTAACTTTCTCAGAAGTGGTATGTGCTCGTCTGAGGTTTATGGAGTCTTTGTTCTCCTGAAACGGTACATTTAAAGCCATTTCTGTTGACTCTCGCTGCAGGTCGCAGACAAAAAGCAAAGTGAAATGAGCCGAGGGCGAACTGACCGTCACGGGAAACGCTCAGCTCAACTTTGAATAGCAAAGATGTGTTTTCTTTTTCTTTAAAAAGGACGTTTCATAGATTTTACTCTACTGAAATATCCCTCAAAATACACAATCAATACTTCATTTTCAGCTGCATCAAGATCCAAGCACTGGACTTTGGTTCCGTGTGATAAATCTACAGAAGAGGAAACTTACTCACTTTCAGTGCAGACGGGACAGCAGCCGGTCCTGTTCAGGATCTTATTCTGCAGGAGAGGAGACAGACAGGGTTAGAGACTCTCTCAGGGACACAACTCTGCCAGAGAAGAGCGGAGGAAATACTTAACAGCATGCAGAATGATGTCGAGAAACATCACAGATGGAAAAAGATCTGAAGAAGCTGACATTTATTAACAAAATATGGAAGATATATCTGAAGAAATGAATCGGCCAACTGGTTTATCAAGCCCAGTCGGCAGCAATTAGTATCATAATGGACCATTCTAACATACTTTTTTCATCTGTCTGGTTACATTTAGTGACGCAAAAAGCACGCGACGTGAAATAAAACACAATTTTCCAGGGGCAAATAAACACAACAACCATTAAAAGTGACAGTTGATCAAATACAATATATCTGTAGATATCCTGGCAACAAACGGTTAAACTGACACATCTTTCCACATCATTTTGTTGGCCGCTGGAACACAAGGTGCAGCGTTTGTTTTCCAGCCGTCAGTCACACAGACGGCTCAGAAGTGAAATGAAAGAATGAAACGGAAGAAAAGTTCCCGATCTGTGGAGTTCACAGTCGACCACAGAGACACCGATACTCCCACTTCAACCGCTGAACTGTGTCTGTGTAACAGGAACCTCTGCGTGTGTGCGCTAAGTGTTTCTGTGTGTGTGTGTGTGTGTACAGCATGTGTCAACTTCCATCAGAAGTGCAGATCAGAGGACTCTTTCACACACTTAGTTTTTGTTGCCTCAGGGAAGCCCTTCATTTGCGCAAACACACACTCTTTTTCCCCCTGTCTTTCTCTTTCTCACACACACACACACACACACACACACACACACACACACACACACACACACACACACACACACACACACACACACACACACACACACACACACACACACACACACACACACACACACACACACACACACACACACACACACACACACACACACACACACACACACACACACCACACACACACACACACACACACACACACACACCTGTCATCACCTACAGACGTTCTCTGTACACTCAATACAAACTCCAGAGTCCTAACCTCTGCACAAAGGCCAATCTCTCTCTTTGAAGAGCGCTGCCTTTTGACAAACTGAGGACACACACACACACACACATAGATTGGTTTTCAGGGGCCTAATATAGGGAACCTCTTCTTTGCTGTCACTCAAACGTCACACGGACAAAAGGCTGTTCCGAGACACGCTGTCTCCAAAGGGACGCAGATGCGCACGCACGCACGCACGCACGCACGCACGCACGCACGCACGCACGCACGCACGCACGCACGCACGCACGCACACACACACACACACACACACACTCTGCCGACCTGCCGCTGACCGCAGGCTGACAGCATGGGAGTGTGTGTGTGTGGACTGTGGTGACCTCTGTGAGAGAGATAATACACAGCCATGATAACTTTGAGTTTATAAACTGTGTCCTCGCCAAAATCATCTCTAAAAATGAATTGCAGACATCACATGTGCACAATTTATTGTTGTATATTCATTAATATAATCAACGAAAGCTATGACTTACTATACTTCAATTTACAACCTCAGGAGTAACTGACCTACTGATGTTAAAGTAACAATGACAACAGGATCGCTTAGGAGAAGACAATTGGATAGACTGGATCGACGGAAATGTGAAATATAGTCTAATGACTAAAACTGTTTTCTCTGAGTACTTCTCCCACCTCTGCTAACTGCCACCAAATCCCTAACCCCAGCCATTTAAACCACCCGTAAGATCAAACATATCATATATACTTATCTGAAAGTGCTTCCCACGTTAACGACACACTGCGTAATAAATCACCAGCTTGTAGTGAGCTGTTGTGTTTCCCTTGGAGTCGCAGACCACCTCCCTGCAGCCGCCTGTCTGACCACAACAACAGGTGAGGGCTTGTTGAAACCGCAGGGAGCGTGTGAACTTGGACTTTGACTGAGTGACCGTCAGCGGGCGGAGGAATGTGAGGAATCCTCTCCATCACCCAGCGGCCGACAGACGACCCCCGAGCGACCTCAGCGACAGGTGAGCGCAGCGAAAACCTTCCTCCTGCCAGAAGTTTCCAGAGCGTTTGACAGCGAACGCCACGCCTCAGCTGCTCATAAGATCACTAATGTGCTGAAAGGGCACCGAGGATACACCCATAGACTGCTTATGTGTAAAGGAAAGACCTCAGTGTTATTAAGAAGTCCTGGGAAGTGTGGCAAGACACAGATCCCCTGAAGAAAAGGGATCTAATTAACACCTTCAATCTGCCAAATAGTGATAGCTCTGACGTATCAAATTGATCGAAATCGAACAGGGAAGGGAAAATATAACTCTGAAAATAAGAAACTGTTGATTTTAAGATAAGATAAGATTAGAGGGAACTTCATTTATCCCCGTGGGGAAATTCAGGTGTTTTAAGTCAGTAAATCCGCTCGTAAATCAGGCTGTTGTCGCTAAAAGGGCCCCGTTTCTGTGATATAGGATAGATAGACCAATAGACTAAATACTGTATTTATATAGTAAAAGACCTCGCCGTTATAGAGAAGTCCTGGAAGGTTCAATACCGACTGTGTGTCTTCGGCAAGCATTTGTCCCCTGCAGGAAAGTGGATCTAACATAAATGTATGATCTGACATATCTTCTAATAACAAGTATCGAATGAATCCAAGTTGCTCAGGAATGGGAAGTATAACTTTCAAGATATGAAACTGTTGCTTTTAAGGCGAGTAAATCCACCAGTAAATCAGGCTAGAGTCGCGATGTTCAGGCGTTACAGAGGGTAAGTGAACGCAGCACAAACCTTCCTCCCCCCAAACCTCACTGTTATAGAGAAGTCCTGGAAAGTGACAGGTTCAAAACCGACTGTGTGTCTTTTGGCAATACCCTCATCCCCTGCAGGAAAGTGGATCTAACTTCTATCATAAATCCGTCGTAAATGTATGAGACAGATCTGATATATCTCCTTATAACACGTATCAAAGTAATCTAAGCTGCTCAGGAATGGGAAATATAACGCTGAAATATGTAACTGTTGATTTTAAGTGAGTAAATCCGACAGTAAATCTAGCTGTTGTCGCGAACGGCAGAAGTTTCCATATCATTTGACAGCTAACGCGGCTCGTCAGATACTCATTAGATTACTAATGTGCTAGAAGAGCACTGTTTTATATTGTAGAGGAGCAATATAACTCTTATAGAATATAGTCCCGGGTGGGAAGTGTGTCTTTTGGCAAGACTCCAATCCCCTAAAGGAAAGAGGATATCACTTATATCATAAATCTGCCATAAATGTAAAAGACAGATCTGACATATCTGCTAATAACAAGTATCAAATTGACACAGGAACGGAAAAATATAACTCTGAAAACACGAGACGTTCACATTTGAGAGTCTTATCTGCGAGTAAATCAGGCCAGCTTCGTTGTTTTGAGGCTTGCACAGACGCAGCACAAACCTTCCTCATGCAAGAAGTTCCCAGAGACAGCGAACGTCACACTTCAGCTGCTCGTAAGGTCACTAATTTCCTAAAAAAGCATGGTTCTTTTTCAGAGGAAGAACAGGTGTCCGTGTGTCTTTTGGAAAGACACCGATACCTGCATGAAAGTTGATCTCATCATAAATCCGCCATAAAAGTATCAGATAGACCTGTCATATCGGCTAATGACAAGTATCTAATTGATCCTAAGAGATGCTGGAAACAGCAAACGGTCAAATTTGAGTCAGTAAATCTGCTAGTCGCTATTTTCAGTCTCTCTGCAAGTGAAAGAAAAACTTTCCGCCTCTAAGAAGTTCCCAGAGTATTTGACACATTTCAGCTTCTTGTAAGATCATCAGAGGTGGGAAGTAGTAGTAGTAGTCAAATACTTCGTTACTGTACTTATCAGTACTTTACTCCACTACTTATTTTTCTCACAACTTTTTACTTTGACTTCTTACATTTTGAACCCAAATACCTGTACTTTCTACTTCTTACATGTTGAACTCAAATACCTGTACTTTCTACTTCTTACATGTTGAACTCAAATACCTGTACTTTCTACTTCTTACATGTTGAACACAAATACCTGTACTTTCTACTTCTTACATGTTGAACTCAAATACCTGAACTTTCTACTTCTTACATGTTGAACACAAATACCTGTACTTTCTACTTCTTACATGTTGAACTCAAATACCTGTACTTTCTACTTCTTACATGTTGAACTCAAATACCTGTACTTTCTACTTCTTACATGTTGAACTCAAATACCTGTACTTTCTACTTCTTACATTTTGAACCCAAATACCTGTACTTTCTACTTCTTACATGTTGAACACAAATACCTGTACTTTCTACTTCTTACATGTTGAACACAAATACCTGTACTTTCTACTTCTTACATGTTGAACACAAATACCTGTACTTTCTACTTCTTACATGTTGAACACAAATACCTGTACTTTCTACTTCTTACATGTTGAACCCAAATACCTGTACTTTCTACTTCTTACATGTTGAACACAAATACCTGTACTTTCTACTTCTTACATGTTGAACCCAAATACCTGTACTTTCTACTTCTTACATGTTGAACCCAAATACCTGTACTTTCTACTTCTTACATGTTGAACCCAAATACCTGTACTTTCTACTTCTTACATGTTGAACACAAATACCTGTACTTTCTACTTCTTACATGTTGAACCCAAATACCTGTACTTTCTACTTCTTACATGTTGAACACAAATACCTGTACTTTCTACTTCTTCCATGTTGAACTCAAATACCTGTACTTTCTACTTCTTACATGTTGAACACAAATACCTGTACTTTCTACTTCTTCCATGTTGAACTCAAATACCTGTACTTTCTACTTCTTACATGTTGAACCCAAATACCTGTACTTTCTACTTCTTCCATGTTGAACTCAAATACCTGTACTTTCTACTTCTTACATGTTGAACTCAAATACCTGTACTTTCTATTTCTTACATGTTGAACTCAAATACCTGTACTTTCTACTTCTTACATGTTGAACTCAAATACCTGTACTTTCTATTTCTTACATGTTGAACTCAAATACCTGTACTTTCTACTTCTTACATGTTGAACACAAATACCTGTACTTTCTACTTCTTACATGTTGAACCCAAATACCTGTACTTTCTACTTCTTACATGTTGAACTCAAATACCTGTACTTTCTACTTCTCTCATTTTCCAAACAGCTGGTTCCTTTAGTCTGAATGTGTGTTTGGTGGCGTGATCATTATTCTTTAGAGTCATTGCGTGCCTATTGATTTGAACACGATCCGTCTATCCATCATTTCCTGGTCTTCTCTAAAGAAGAGGGACCAATGGAAACGTTGTCATGTTGCCGTTGTTCAGCATGGAAACATTCATTAGCTAACAATGACATTATTGTTCTATTAATATAAAGGGAGGTCAGGTACTCTTTAAAACAGCTGCTAGTTATGGGTACTTTTTACTGAAGTACACTTCAAAGCCTCTTTACTTTCACTTGAGTAAAGAAGTTTAGTCAGTACTTCTATTTTTAAACACGAGTATCTGTACTTCTACTTGAGTAAAGGATGTGTGTACTTTTGCCCTCTCTGAAGATCAACTATTTTCTAAAAAGACACTGTTGTTCTAAATAGGAAAAACCTCCTTGTCATCGAGAAGTCGTGAAGAGGACAGGTTCAATAAGAGACATGATCCTGCATGAAAGGGGATCTGACTCCTGTCATAAATCTGACATTAATGTATCAGATAAACCTGCAATATCTCCTGAAAACAAGTTTCAAACTCTCCTGAATTGCTCACAGAAAGGGAAAACAAAACTAGTGAAGCAAAGTCAATCCTCCAGTAAATCAGGCTTTTTGAGTCGTTACGCATGTGAAGTGAAAATGATGGAGTTAGTCACGGGCTGTAAAGAGTGAGAGAGAGAGAGGAAAGCAGATCAAGTGGAGTGACAGAGACAGGCAGGTCGACGTAAGCCCAGAAAACAAGACGTTGGCCTGTGATTGGCCGATGGGCCTGTCACTCACCGAGGGGCAGCTGCTGATTGGCACACACTGTTTTGGGCGACACTCAATGTTTCCTTTGACGCAGGCACACAGAGTGCAGTTAACGGACGACCACATGTCTCCTTCCTGCAGGACAGAAACACAGCAACATCAGAATACATCCACCATCTTTAATACATCCACCATCTTTAATACATCCACCATCTTTAATACATCCACCATCTTTAATACATCCACCATCTTTAATACATCCCACCATCTTTAATACATCCACCATCTTTAATACATCCACCATCTTTAATACATCCACCATCTTTAATACATCCACCATCTTTAATCCATCCCACCATCTTAAAGTCCAGCGCCCATCCATCCTCATGCATTCATCTGCCCATTTACCATTTTTTTAATATAAGTCCATTTTTCATACATGTTTCTGTCCATTCATTTGTATAACCATCCATCTATCACTGATTCATCAATTCAGTCGTCCATTCATGGAGTTACTCCATCTGTCCATCAATACATTAAACATTTACCCATCATTCATTCATCTAAAAATCACCCATTCAATAAATGTTTTGTTTAGTTTTCCCACAAGGAATCTTGCTAAAGCACCACCCCAAATATTGTGTTTGTGATGCCCCTTTCACACCAACGCGGTTCCAGGGCCGGTTCGGAGCTGGAGCCTGAAAAGCACCAGTTTTTCTGCCTCTAAGCTCCGGAATCCGGTTTGTTTCAAGCACCAAAAAGTTGTCGGTCTAGAAAGCAAGCACCGCATATGTCATGCTTACGTCGGAGGCGGGGGCGGGGGAAGAGGCGGGATCAACCTCTGACAACAACAAAAAGCCTGCGTTTTATCCAGTTTGTACACAACGATGGAAAACCTAAAACTTAACAAGCGGCAGTGCTCCACTGAAGAGACCAGCTACCTACTGGGAATCTGGTACAGAGGAAGCTGGACGGGAGCACGCGGTCCAAATAACTTTTGAATGTAGCATGTAACGACTGTAAAGTTGGTAGTAAAGTTGTCCAATTTCTTCCATTTCGTTTCGACAGAGCAAAACCAAAACGAGTAGCGCTTCAATACAATCGGCCATTGTTTTTGTTGTCGATATGAGGGGTTTCCGCGCGGTTTGGCTTTATGAAGCAGGCACGCAAAAGGTTACGTCATGACGCAAACGATGACGCAATGACGCAGCACCAGTCGGGCTCTGAGCGGTGTGAACAGAGCGGGAGCTGAACCGAAGAACCGGTTCCGAACCAGAAAAGCTCACGGAGCTAGAACGGGAAAAGCCTTGTTGTGAAAGGGGCAATAGAGATGTGCTCAGAAAGGTTTCTTGGAAATAAGTCATGAATCTTAGTATGAATAAAGTATTGAAAATTGAAAACTTAAGGGAAATAAATCTTGGTCGACCAAGAACCAAATGCCCAATTGGTTGAATAATCACCTAAGAAGTTGCAGTTCTTTCCAACACTTGTCCATCCATTCATTCATCTATATGTCTTTCCATCACTCCATCCAATTCTTCAGTCTATTGATCCATCCATCCATCCATCCATCCATCCATCCATCCATCCATCTGTCCATGCTTTCTAAGTTCCTCACCCTGTAGATCTTGTTTCTGACTCTGCAGTACTTCACCTCCTCCACCTTCACGTAGGACAGACACTCGTCACAGCAATGGTCGCCTTGGCAACTCCCAGGACGAGAGCACTGCTTGTTGCACACCACCGTTGAATCCTGGGAAGAAGAAAACAAACACAACTCAGATGGAGGACTCGTCAAGACCTACAGGAGGAGGAAGACTTTAGATACAACTGATAATAATTATTTGAATATATATATTTGTTTTCTTTTTGCCTAGATGGCTAAAATTGGATGACCATTTTAGTTTTCACTTCATTGTAAATTGCATGAAATGATGAGCTGTTTTGTTTTAGTTTTGTTTTATGTATGTTTGACAGTGTGTGAGGACCCCAGGAAGATCAGCCAATGCTCATGCTAGTGCTAATGGGGGTCCTAATACAGAACAAGAAGAACACGGGGTCTCTGATGGTGTGATGATGACGATGGTGGTGGAGACGCAGACGTTACCTTGCAGGTGCAGGTGGTGCAGTTGTCGTGTGAGAAGGACGTGCCGTTCTCAAACACTTCACTGTGGAACAGACAGCTTCCTGAGTACAGATCAAACACCTTCCTCTGACCTGACGGAGGAGGAGGAGGAGGAGGAGGAGGAGGAGGAGGAGGAGGAGGAGGAGGAGGAGGAGGAGGAGGAGGAGGAGAGTCAAATGATGGGACTGCTACAAAGCAATATGTGGAAATCAATGAATGGGCCAACATAGCTTTTGTTGTTAGGTGAGAGAAGTATTTGAGGGTCTTTACCGAGACATCTGGGGCAGCACTGTCCGGGGGGGGTGTGGCTGAGGTGGGGCGGGGCATGAGAGGACGGGACACACCTCCCTCATGCAGAGAGTCCGCCCTCCCTGGAGGACAAACATCAAAAACACCATTTAAATAAGGATTATATTTGCATTCAGGTGATAATTAAACACGACTTAAAGGTCCCCTATTATACTGTTTCTTATCAATATCTCACAGGTCTCAGATATATCCAGAGCCTGTCTCTGATTGGCTGAAACACCAAACAGATCATTGCAGCATTACCCATAATCCCCTCTGTTTCAGTGCTGATTCTCTGTCTGTTACTTCAGATGAAAATAAGGAGCCCCTCCCCACGCCCCTCTGAGAGAGATTTGGTTACAAAGAACACAATGGTGCTCTAGAGGAGATTCAGGTGATAAGGTGGGGGGCAACCTTGGTTGCTGATTGGCTAATGGTTACACAAGACAAAACATCGTGATGATGACATCATAAAGTGGCCAAAATCTGATCAGCTCATTTTCAGACAGGTTTTTATAGAAATGGATCAAAAAGAGAGAGAATCTTTGTTCCTGAAACTTTCAGAGTCTCTTTCCACAGAGCTTTAAAAGTATAATCAAGGTGTTCTCACGTCTCATAGTAACATTAAGAAGGCCTTGTATTTTCACTTTAGATCAGGGCAAACTGTGTGTGTGTGTGTTTGCTGTGTGGTGTGAGTGTGT